ATCATATATAAGTTATATTTGTCAAATATATGTATATTTTTAAGTAATTTTTTATGATTATCAAGTATGTTTTATGCTTTTTGAATACCATTTTTCGTTGAAATAAGCATAAAAATGGTTTAGGTTGTTTACATGTAATTACTTAGTTTAGTAAGTATTTTTTTTTTTTTTTTTTTTTTTTTTTTTGTCTCCTAACAAATAAGTTGTCCAAACTCAATCTACTCTACTTCAACATCTACCTACCCATCATGAATATGAGCTATGCACACCTATGCACAATAACTTGTTATTATTCTTCATATATGGTATACATGATAAAAGGTTAATTATATGTAATGTAAATTTAAAATAAAAAAGTTTAATTTACATGTATTGTTAGTTTTAAATATTTTTACATAGTTATTATCATGTCTTTATAGTTATTACTTAATGGGATGATGTTTATAAAAGTATTTTGCTTTGGTTGTGTATATAAATTAAATTCATCTAGGATTTTTTATTTTAAATTAATTATTTTAAAAAATAATTTTTATCAAATATTAGACGAAAATAATATATATATTTAAACATACATATTAATTTATAATTAGATAGAAGAAAAATGATTTTTTTTTAAATAAATTCAAATTTTTGACACTATAATTATTTTATCTTTCAACTATTTATTATCATATATAAGTTATATTTGTCAAATATATGTATATTTTTAAGTAATTTTTTATGATTATCAAGTATGTTTTATGCTTTTTGAATACCATTTTTCGTTGAAATAAGCATAAAAATGGTTTAGGTTGTTTACATGTAATTACTTAGTTTAGTAAGTATTTTTTTTTTTTTTTTTTTATGTTTTGTGTGTTGATAGACAGGGAAAAAAAAAAGTCAATCAAGAGTATCAAAGTTTTGAAAACTTTAAAGCTATTGACCCTCGTTTAAGCAAGTTACCTTGGTCACTCATATATCACAAAGTATGCTTGTTTAAGCAAGTTAAGGCTTAAAGTCTAAGCAAAATGAAGAAAATTACTCAAATGAGACCACCAATACACTTAAGCAAGTCAAGACTAAGAGCATATACAAGCTCACTTATCCAAGTCATCTTGGCCGCTTAAACCAGTTGAGCTATAAAAGCCTAGGATTTGAGAAGCACATAAAAGCTTAAAAGTTAATAATTGATTGATTCATTTAGTTAGGTTAGAGAGAAAGAGAGTGTGAAGCAGAAGCCATCACAGATTTCTCAATGCTTTATTTTATTTGTACCTTTTCGTGATTAAATTAGTCATGAACAGCTAATTCACCATGTGATAAGAATTGATATAGTTGATTATGAATCAATGTAACTTTTTCTTGATTACTCAATAAAGTTGTTATCTAGTTATATAATTTTTGTTTTTCTGCGCTAGATATCTATTTTAATTTGATTACTCATTGCATAAGTTTATGGAATTATATAAGATTATAAGAAACCTTTTTAATAATACGATATGTTAAATAACATTAAAAACCCTTATTATTAGAAATAAAGTACTAATTATTAGTCAATATTTAAAAATTTGATTTTAATATAAATTATTTAATTTACTTTATCAAAAAATTAAGATTTTAATTAAAATTAGAATTTGTCATACAAAATATTAGAGTTACAATATTTTTTGTTGATAATTCTAAATTCATTAACTGGGAATTCTAAATTTCTTGATTAAAATATCTATTTCTCTATAAAGTTAATTAAGATATATTTTATTAGATATTAAATGGTATAAGAGTAAGTGTAATCTGTTTTACTGGAGATCGGTCGTAGGGGACGATCTGCGGGGTAAGATCGGCGAGCTTCCTTCACTGGTACGCTTGTTGCTCCGATGGGAGTGGTACCTAAAAAAGAGACTCTGATGCTAAAGTTAGTGTTTGTGGGTGTATAAGTCTCGTATAAGTAATGCATGTACCTTTGTGTGAATTAGGGTTTCATTGGGCCTTGGGCCTAAGATCAGTTTATGACTTATTTGGATGTCGAGCTGACGTGGCCTAGCGTGTGTCCAAGGACACGCCGCACTGAGATGCCGAGCTCGAGCTCGGCATAGCGGTACGGATAGTACACTAGCCCCCCGAGCTCCGAAGACCATGGGTTGAGGAGTTGATACTAGCTTGGTAAAGGGTCGTGACTCTTGGCGTACGCTTCTCTCTCGTGATGCCATGTGTCATAAGTGTCACCTCGCTCCCCGAAACGCGCGGGCGGCGTGTTAATGGGAGGTGATGGTTATGTAGACGTACCTTGGTAATATTAGGGTTTTTACTATCTACCGGCACATTGCCATTGTTAGGGTTTTACCTTGTGATTGCGGCGCGGTGACAAGATTGTATTTTTATCTGTTTGATGACGTGGCCTCTTTGGGCCGATGTGGTATTTCGATGTCCATGTTTCATGGCCGAGCTGAGGAACTCGGCAATAATGAGTTTACTGCTTGGTTAGGCTGGTAAACCCTTGACCGAGTCAATAGATTGGTGATGGACAAGTCGGCAACTCGGCTGGCCAGTACACTTGCCCCCCAAGCACCGAGTGATGTAAGAGCAAAGGGGCTTCTGAGGAGCTCCCAAATTTGTTGTTTGAAGGTTCAAATTCAACCTTGTAGATGTGATCTTCAAGGGTCGAGCTCTACCTTGGTATATCAAGGTTCAAACTCGACCTTGGTTAAGAAAATGTAATCTCAAGGTTCAGACTCGACCTTGGCATAACAAGGTTCGAACTCGACCTTGGCATAACAAGGTTCAAACTAGACCTTGGCATCAAGGTTCGAATTCGACCTTGGCAACGTAATTTGTACTTGAAGGTTTGAACTCGACCTTAACATCAAGGTTCGAACTCGACTTTGGCAAGTCGTCACAGTTAATGTGCCAATACCGAAAATGTATGGGAATGAAGTTGCTTTTTTGATTATTTCTGAGGTGTGCCTCGTTAAAACCTTCCTTGGCCAAAAACCCTTTTCTTTAGTTGGAAAAAAGGCTGAGGAGGAAAAAGAGTACATCACCAGAATTTACAAGTTAAGAGAAATAAAATTTGAGGTGGGTGACATTCCAGGTTCCGAATTTCCCTTCAGAGGGGTCTATTCTTGCCTCTCTCACCCCACCAAAAAAGGTCGCCAACTTTAAATGTTTGTGGCCTGACCTTGGTCTTGCTTTCCTTGTGGTTTGTCGCGAATCTGGTCACGAAAAGCAGAGTGCTCTTCCATCTGAATGTTCCCTGCAGCTCGGGCACGGAGTTCGTCCATATCAAGAGGAGATCGTCGACACAAGCTGTCCACGAAAGGTCCAGGCTTAAGCGCCATGAACATGGCGTGTAGGGCGACCTCAGGGTTCAAGTTTCGAATCTTGACTAAGATACTGGCAAAGCGTTCCATGAACGCCCTCAGTGATTCGTCGTCGCCCTGTCCGAGACTGGCCAAGGCGGTTGATGTGACATGGTGAGGTTGACTCGTGGCATACTGCGCCGTGAATCGCCTTACCAGAGTATCGAAGTTGTCTATCGACTCCACCGGCAGTTGAGTGTACCAGTTGAGCGCTGCCCCCTTGAGCGAGGTCGGAAAAACCCTACATAGAACAGCATCGTCGTTAGTGTATAGGTTTACCTGCATGACGTATAATTCGATGTGCTCGTCTGGATCTATTATGTCGTCGTAGCGGTCGATGTGGAGGGGCTTCCAGCCGAAGGGCAGAGGTGTCTCCATGATGTCGTCCACAAAGGGGTGGCGATGAATGTTCGCCCAATTTCCAGGGGCCTGGGTAGGAGCATTGCTGACTTCAAGGGTCGACCTGTTCGTCAGTGCGTGAGACCGATGTGTGGCAGGTCGGGGAGTCGGTGCCCTAGGCGCGGTTGGGGGTTGAGAGACCGAGTGCCCCTCCTCTTTGTGTTGACTACTCGGTTGAGGGGGCTGATCAGAAGGGCGCCGAGGAAGCTGGGCGCGAATATGCTTGTTCTCGGCGCGCAGCGCCGCTATGTCAGCCTCATTCGCGATACGCAGCGCTGCTAGGTCAGTTTCGTGCTTGGCACGGATGTTTTGCAGATTGGCAGTGTGTTGCTGCCGCATCTGCTCGACCTGTTCGATCAGTCTTCTCAATGATGTTTCGTTGTCTATGCTTGTCGTGCGATCTATGTCGTCTGTTGCTCATCTACTATGGCTTCGGGTGATGAAAACCATAAGCGTGGCCGATAAGAGCTGTCTTATCGGCCCCACAGTGGGCGTCAAATGTTCTTATCGGAGATCGGTCGTAGGGGACGATCTGCTGGGTAAGATCGGCGAGCCTCCTTCACTGGTACGCGTGTTGCTCCAAGATGGAGGTGGTACCTGCAAAAGAGACTCCGATGCTAAAGTTAGTGTTTGTGGGTGTATAAGTCTCGTATAAATAATGCATGTACCTTTGTGTGAATTAGGATTTCATTGGGCCTTGGGCCTAAGATCAGTTTATGACCTATTTGGATGTCGAGCTGACGTGACCTAGCGCGTGTCCGAGGTCACGTCGCGCTGAGATGCCGAGCTGGATAGTACATAATCTATAAAATGGAAATTGATTCTTCCTCCATATTAAAAACCTTGTCATAGGATGCAGCAGCGGGGACTGCTCCTCATGCTTAATGCGAAAAAGTTTTTCCTCCTATAAATCCGACTCTGGTCATTGAAATAGAAAATGATTTATAATGACGTAGGTAACTTTGAAGGATACACCCCATTTCTGATTACATAATTGATTCACTTGGGGAGAGAAAACTAGTCATCCATATTAGTATTTCATAAAAAGTTATTAATTTTCTTATAATTAATAATCTCAATATGGTACGTGCATTAAGTGATGGATTGAACAAGAAATTAAAAAACATATATGGTAGATCAAAAGATATCTTTCAACACACTTTCATTTATTATAAATATATACTGACCAGAATAAATTTAAATAACTACTTAAAAAATTTAATATAAAGTTTCACCCAATAATAGCTAAATTTGTTCAGAAGACAGTAATAAAAAGTACGTCAGTACGTACCATTCCTCATTTCAAGAACTGGAACTTCAATTACTATGAAGATGAAAGAACAAACAATTAATTCAAAAAGCAAGATCTACTTTACACAAGAGAAGCAAGTTTTCCAGCGATTCATCTAACCCAGTATGATAATAATCATGTTAATTAATAGTAAAATATACACGTCTAGCACCGAAAGGATTGAAAACCTTCTCTCTGTGGCCAAAGCGAGGTTGATGAGGCCCTTTCTATAGCATATGAAGTAAAATAAATTCCACAGTTCCATATGTCACAAAATGAACCATTTTAGAAACACTTTGCATCCCCACAATAACCAACTTTCTCTTGACAACCAGCCTCATCAAGAAGCCATTTCTCAAGCAAAGAGAAGGGCATAATTTCTGCACAAATATCAGGCTTGCTTTCATCATCTTGCAAAACAGTGGCCTCAGGAGACAAGGACTGAGAAAATTGATCGGAGTTTGAAGACTCCAAAGACTGGTCAAAATCAAACAAGGATTCAAAATTCTCAGACAATTCAGCACTGCTTGGTTCCTCTGCTCCACTAGAAGCAGTATCAGCACCCGATGCAGCTAGGTTGTTGAAGGAGTTTTGAGTCACAGATGAGTTAGTTCTTGAGGACTTTGGAGGGTTTTTCATCCAACCCTTCAGCATGCGAGCTATGTTCTCTGCACTTGAAGCATAGCACAAAGATTGCGTTGGTTTTGTGGAAGAGAAGGAGCTGCTACTATCTGAAGGGTATGAGTTTGATGCAGATAAAGAAGGTGGCTTCTCTGGTGAAAGGGCTTCGCTGAGGGCTCTCTTTGCCATTTGGATATCAGTCTGGAGTCTTCTCTCCCACTGGCCTCTAGGGATTTCCCTTGAGGCTGAAAACCCTTCTCCTAAACTACCTTCACAACCTGAATGCAACTTCTTCAGCTTCTTTCTCAAATGGGTGTTCCAATAGTTCTTTATGTCATTATCTGTTCTCTGTGGAAGGTATGAAGCTATTGCAGCCCATCTGTACCATAGCCAAAGTGGTCCAGTTAAGTTAGGTATGTGGATCCAAAAGAATTTTCCAGATTAAAATACTCAAGACAGTTTAAAAGATAAGGGAGTCTTTGATTTCTATTTTTTTTTTAATTCTAATTTTTAAAATATAACTAAAAAAGATGAGAAACCATCTCATAACCATATATTTTTTTTTAGAGCACTTTCTTGGAAAATAATTTTCAAAATTTAATAGACGTTTAATGAGAAATTGGTTGTTGAGTAGTGTGAAATTATCATAAATAACAATTTTTAAAACTAAAATGTGAGAAGAGAATCAAACATGTCTTCAAAACTCAAGCTAAGTAGGTGCTTGGAAGATTGATTTTTACCTGTTTCCTAAAAGATCTTGAAGGTGGATTATCATCTTCTCCTCTTGTTCGGTGAAGTTACCCCGTTTGATTCCTGGCCTCAGGTAATTAGTCCATCTAAGTCTACAACTCTTACTGCACCTTGACAACCCTGAAAGCAACCCGAAAATGGCAAAAACAAATCAGATCGGGTGAAGCAACATCAAACAATGAAACCCAAATGACCAACATTTAGATCAGTCTATTTCAATCAAAAACTCATAAATTAAATGATGATCCAAGAGCTAGACACAACATAGAACAACCAATAATAATAATATACAAAATCACCAAAAAGAAAAGAAAAAAAAAAGTGAGTGGAAAAGCTAATCAACCTGTTTTGGTAGGAACTGCCCTCCAATTTCCAGGACCATGCTCCTGTATATAAGACACCAACATGATGTCTTCTTCAGGAGTCCAAGGCCCTTTCTTGACCCCTTCCTTGTCACAACAAGGTGGTCTTCCCATGTCTCCTTCCTGGTCTTTCTCTTTTATTCAACTTCCTGTATACTCTTGTCCTTCTAATTCTCTAGCCCGTTCACCTCACCAGGAAAAAATAGGTAGTTTTCCTCTATGTATGTATCTGTGTGGTGGTGATATGATACGGTTTTATCTCCTTTCTCTTTTATTTCTCTAACCCCTTTACTTGGTATGTTATTCAAATGCAAGTGTCCAAGCCTAACCCTTGCTGGATGCACATTTATAGGTAAAAGGGGAGGGGTAAAGGCATGGTGAGAAGCTGACTTAAGCAAGTAAACGAGGCAAGAGTCAAAAGTTGACAGCAAGAGCATTAAGTGAAGGGTATGAGTAAGGGCCAAATTATTCAGCTCTATGTATTGTGTACCTCTCAAAACCGCGTAGCATTCAATGTAGGTGCACTGGGAAAGCTCAATTATCTCAGCTTTAAAAGTCCATAAACCCCTGCAGATCATTAAATGTAAATATGAGATAAAGCTGACTTTTGCAAAACCTAATGAGCTATCGCCATTAACTCTTTCTTCGCCATCTGGTGATCTCGATGAACCACCCCTTTCCTATTTTACTAACTTATCTATAAATTAATTAATTGCATTTATAGTTCAATTATACTTCGGTGTTTGGGACAGCGACCATAACCGACATGAGATATACTCTACGAGTATCTCTTTGCTTAAGCTTGAGTAGAAGAGTGTGTTTGCACAAAAGGATGAAGTTTGGCAATTAACGTTATCTTACGTACTGGCTACTACTAGAGTACTGTATATTGTTTCTGGATATTGCAAGTTTATCATCTTATTCGTCAAATTTAATGCATGTTTGGAAACATGTTCACAACCCTCAAAACCGCGTTAAAAAGGTGAATTTATTTATTAGACCTCTTAACTGTACAAATTGTTATACAAATCCTACCATTTCTTTTTTGAAAAGGTTACCTCAAATGACAAATAGACACAATTACTTCATTTATGTTGAGAATTTTATTGTGTGCAAATTTCTATTTGCAAGCCTCCAAGTTGATTTATTATATTTATTAGAATTAAAATAATATTACTCTCTCTATCCTATTGACAGTAATTTTCGTATTTAAAAAATGTCTTAAAATGGTTTATGTTTTCACTTTTCAATGCAACATCATTTTTTTAATTTATCTTTTCACAGATTATTCAATTATCATAATTAAAAATAATAATCTATTTTTTATTAAAAAAACTAAGACAATTTTATTAAATAAAACAAGGAAAGCCACCAGATATGGCTTTGCTCATTACAAACGAAACATCAAATAACAGAAGAAAAAAAAATGATATATTAAGAGGGTTGGATTATTTTAACAATATTGTATCAAAAAGTGATATATTTAAATTTTATTTATTTTTTATTATGGATGTAATTTTATATTAGTCTTTATAATATGTCTACTTTTTATTTTAATCTCTGTAATATCTTATTTATTTTGAGTTATATAGTTCCTTTAAAAACATTGGTAGGGACTAAAAGAATGCATATTATAAGGACATAAAGGAAAAATGAATATACTACAATAAATAAAATAAGATAATAAACAACAAAGGGTCAAAATAATAATTAAAAAAAAACTTTTACAAAGACTTCTTAAAAAATTATAAGGATTACAACAAACAAAAACATTGTAAGAACCAAAAGTATATATATTTAAATCTATATAAATACTAACAATACAGATTTTTGTATTATTTGTTGAACTTAGTAAAACTCATACATTTATGTGAATCTTACTTTTTATTTAACGAAACTCATTTATAATTTTATAATTTTAAATAAATTTTAGTGAATCGGAAAACGAGTGTTATTGGTATGTTGATAATCTATTAGTCATTGACTAGCTTTTAAAATTATAATAACGACAGCTAATACAATATTGATTTTTTTTGTTGTTGAACCTATCACAATATTGATACTATCTTATACGTACTCCTCATAAATTTATAATAACGACACCAAATAAATATTAACGGTATTGATTTATCTATTACAATAACGACAGCTAATAATAATATTGATAATACTAATTAACTAATTATATATAGTACCAATACCTAATAAATGTTAAAGTTGAAATTTAAAAACGAATGAAAAAGACTGGTACTGAAATATAATCCTCATAAATTTATTATCAGTCAAGATCTGTCGATGCATATGGCAAAACAATAGATTGACTTCATCATCGTGCATACAGTATATTGGCATGATGCAATGCATAGGTGTCGAGTTTAAACAAGTATGGGCAATAAACATCAGCGATGGAAAACAAAGCCACCTCAAAGGCTCAAACTGTTTATAGTTTGAATAAAAGATATTCATAATAAATGACACTTGGAAGAGTTGGCACCCATACTAAGGCCCACTGCCTTAGAATGTGCTACAGGTGCCACTAATGAGGGCACTGTGAGAGGACAGAAACCCTCCAAGTGTCTATATATATATCTCTAGATTCGCCCATTGCAAGTTAGAAGTTAGAACAAAACTAGAAGCACTTAGTTTTCATGATTTATTCAGCACGTAGTTTGTAGTCTAAGGGATTACAATTTTTTATCTTGACTCATTTAAAATACAAAGTAATTTCGTTTGCGGGATATGTCATGAAAGGGTTAAATCTGGGAGTCATTAATTACACTTTAATCTTTGATTAATTAATAAAAGTTTGGGCTGTTTCGCTTAATTCATGCCATCAAGCAAAGTTTAGAATAACTGCGGAGTATATATTCTTTAGATTAGTCTGAAGCTTTTTATTTCAGGTTTCATTTATTGAAAGATTTATTGAGAGACCCAATGCAGGTTTTTAGTCAATGTGATTTATTGCACCACCTCAGTAACTGTAGGAGGAGGAAGAGAAAAACCGATGCTGAAGAGATTTTGGTGGGGCGGTGGGAGTTAGAGAAAGAGATATTGAGAAATGATATTTTTCTTTTTAACCATGGGCTTCCACCGGCTGGCTAAATATGTAGCTAACAGAAATTATGGTAAAATAATATTATTTATTATGATAATAAATATGATGCAGCTAACAGTCACATCAATATCGTGATAATAATAGTGATAAATATTGTGATAATAGTAATCATAATAATAATATAATATTAGTGATGATATGTGATAATAAGGATTATAGTTTTTTTTATCAATATTATTATTATTATTATTATTATTATTATTATTATTATTATTATTATTATTATCTTTATTATTATAATATTATTTTTAATCTAAGGATTAAAATTGAATGTTATTATTTTCTATAAGAAAGTTATTTTCATATCATGTTTGACACATCAGTATATCATTATTATCATTGTCGTTACTATCTTTATCACCTACATTATCACCATCACATTATTATTACTATTATTATTGTCATCGCATGTTTGTTATCGGTGGAGACCCTAGACATGGTCATGGTGAGTGGTCGCCCAAGGCTCCATTTTCAAAGGGATACCATTTTTTTGTAGATAATGTTTAGTTATCTACGGAATATTATCTACGAAATTTTTTCTGTAGATAATGTTTAGTTATCTACGGAATATTACCTACATAATTAGTTACCTACGGAATATTACCTACAGAATTAGTTATCTATGGAATATTACCCACAGAATTTTTTCCTATATAATTTTTACTTATCTATGGAATATTACCTACGGAATTAGTTATCTATGGATTATTACTTACAAAATTTTTTTCGTAGATAATTTTTAGTTATCTACAGAATATTACCTAGGGAATTTTTTCTGTCGATAATATTTTAGTTATCTAAGTGATGTAAAGAATATTTGGTAAAAAAATAAATATTATTAAAATTTATCATTTTAAATTTTTATTTTTATAAATTAATGATGATAAAAATTATGATATAATTAGATAAGATTTTGAATTAGTATTTTATTAATGGTTGATAATTAGAAAATAAAATAAGAATAAATACTTTTTTTGAATTTTATATCTTAGATTTAAGATGAATAAATATATTAACTTAATTAATAATTTATTTAAAATGATAAAATTTAATTTATAAAAATAATATTTTAAAAGAGAAGGGTTATAATAACAACAGTGTAACTTTTACTAAGTATTACACCGCTCAATAACTTTATATTAAATGTGAATTTTGTAAATTCAACCGTTAGATTGAAAGTTAATATTATACAATGTAAGTATATATATATATATATATATAAAGATTAACTAAATATAATATAATTATTATTATTGGTAATATAATTATTATATATATTTTTATATTTTTATAGAGGTCTAGACATACCAAAATGAGAAAGATCCAAAAATAGTATAAGTATGAGATTGTATAGTTGAGGATAACTTAAATGAATTAATTTGTACTACTTACATTGATAACATGCATTTGCTTTTCGATAGCTTATCTCATCAGAATTCCACAGTTAAGCGTGCTTGACTTGGAGTAATATAAGGATGGGTAACCTTCCGGGAAATTTTCTAGAAAATGTGCAGTAAGGACAAAACACGTTGAAAAGTGAAGTGTCATGAAATGACATCCTTGAGAGGCCAAATATGAGGGTTGTTAATTAATAAATTTATTAAAATTAAAAAAAAATCCAAAGTTTATCTACGGATAAAATTCGTAGATAACAACTTTCGTGGGTTATCTACGAAAAGTTTTTCGTAGATAATGTTATCTACGGAAAAAAATCCGAAGATAACAACTTTCGTGGGTTAGCTACGGAAAATTTTTCGTAGGTAACATTATCTACGACCTTATTACCTATGAATTTTTTCTATAGATAATCCGTAGATAATTGACACTTACCTACGGATATTCATGCTTATCTACGAATTTTTTTCGTAGATAATCCTGATTTTTCTTGTAGTGTTCAAAGCTAAAAATTTTGAGAATGAAGAACTATATAAGAATAATGAAGAGTCTGATATTTTAGTTAAAAATGATGAAAATATGAATACGATTATCATGATGAAATTGAATATTTTAATGATAAAAATGAACATTTATATGCTAGACGATCTAGTCAGTATAGTTCATTAATCAGACATTTACGATCTAATAGCATGAAATAACCTTAGAAATAATTTAAAAGATGAATTACTAACAAAATGGTATTAAATGAGATATGTCTATTGTGAATAATCCTATAGGGATACTTTTGATAATATCCTAATAATTTTGTAATAAAAAAATATAAAGAAAAAAATTAAATAATTGGGGTATCTTGTTTTTGGTTCGTCCAAGGCTTTAAAAAACTCAGGGTCCACCTTAGTTGTC